TACTATGTAATCATCATCTTGAGATAAAGAAATACAGACATTACATAATGAATGCAAACCTTTATTATAATCTACATTATTTGTATTAGAGATTATTTTAATGTCTAGGTTCATATATATCAAGGATATAAATGTTATGTATTAATTTTCACACATAATTTCAGCTCCAAAAATTTTTCTAAAACAAACTAGGATAAAAAGCGGGGGTGGGGGGCGGCTTCCAAGAGAAAAATTTTTAAAAGAAAATAGAATTATCAATATGGTGCTATTTTTTGTTTGTTTTTCTGAAGGGTTAGATTGAGTTTAAAACTTTTTACTTTTTTTCTTTTTTATTGGTTTTTAAATTTAATACTGTCAAAATAGAAGAAAAGCAATCCTCATGAATACCTGAAGAGCTAAATAAGATCTCAGAGGGCAACCTCGCTATATGAAATCAAGTGACATGTAACAAAATGTCACATGAAAATGAGAAATCTTGTGGCTTTTTGCTTTCCACTGATAAGTACATTAAAGAGATATGGCCGTGCAATTCACTCTGAGTATTGATTGAGAGATTCCTTCTTTGTCTAAAATGTATTATACACCAAAGACAAAAGCATGAAGAGAGTAATTCCTACTTTTGAATAAAGTCAGCACACTTAAATATGAATGTGAATTATAATTTGTTCAAATAAACTATATTAGGCATGTAATTAATCCCCAAACCAGAGATAAGTAATTTAAAGTGAAATAAATTTTCCTAAGTAGCCATATAAAATCTAATGGTGAAAATAATACTTCACAATAAATATAGGAAAGGAACATGGAGCAAACAGAGATTCAAGACCTTGAGATTGGTTATAAATAAATGGTTGCCATGTAGTTTTCTTATCTTCTAGACTGGCACTGTCTAATAGAAAAATGACAGTCACAAATGCCAATCATATATGTAGTTTTAAGTTTAATGTCCGCATTCAAAAGAATAAAAAACAGGTGGGTTTAATTTTAACAACATATATCTTTAACCCAATATAGTCATAATGCTATCACCTCAACATAATCTATATAAGATTATTAATAATATATTTTACATACTTTTAAAAATATCTTCAAAATCTGGTATGCATTTTACATATAAAACACATTTTAATTTAGACTAGTTATAATTTCCAGTGCTGAATAACCACATGTGGCTAGTGGCTACCAACTAGACAGTGCAGTTCTAGAATATGTCATTACTCTTATATTACTAGTGGAATTTAGAGACTATCTCATTAATATCCAGCAGAATGAATAAATGTCTACCTAAATACAAGCTTATTATGGTACCCACTTCTTGTTGAGTCAATTTTTTTTGTTGTTTTTGGTTTTTGCTGTTGGACTTTTTAAACACCTAAATAAAAAAATCATAACATTTCTTACATAATAAAAGGATTCTTTAATAAAATTTTCTTATCAATCCAATAGAATGGTTAATAGAGTTATGGGTCACATGGTTATTGCCAATTTCTAAAACATCCATATGTAATAAATATACTAAATTCAATCCTGTATTATAGTTGTTAAAGTTGTCAATTTTGGTTGTACTTAGATTTGCACTACTATTTGTAGTAAGGTATTTTTGTATTTTAAAAGGTATATTCTACTATTATATGTAAACTTTATTGTCTACATATTACAAACACAAATCTGTACCTTTACTAGAGAGTTAACTTATGGCCATTTAAGAAATGTATCAGTTCATTTGATAATTCCAAATCATAGATAGCTCTACAGGAAAATTTCTGATGGACTCTATTGCAGGACTCAGTAGTAGAACTTAAATCAAAATTGCTTTATGAAATTATAAATTTAATTGGGAAAACAAGTATGTATGTCTATGTCACATCTCCAAGTCAGGTGAGGGAAGTCTACATTAAACTCACCTGACCACTAGCACCTTGAACAATAATTACAATTTTTAAATGCAGAAGTTCATGTTTTGAGAAGGATATGATATATTGACCTATAAAAGACTTGATTTAGTGTCAAGAGTAGTTTAAATCAATGAAGCCATAGACAGAAGCTTAGAATGTCAGCAAGGAGAGCAATTATTATGCTTAAATATTGTAGAAGCACAAAATAGTTTTAGAAAGGAGATGGAAAATGACTCGCAAATAGTGACTTATTTTTCTAGTTATAAAGGTAAATATATTTTAATCATTTGGGATCTGGTGGCCTCTGTTATTAAAGGAAAATAGCATTACTATTTTTAGTTGCAGGCAAGAAAGTAATTTTAGAAGAAAAAAGCCTATTGAAATTCAATGAAAAGAAATCATTGTGGTAGGTAGTCTTCGGTACTGGTCAGATTATAGAAATCATCACTTTTTTATGACAATAACACCACTTACCCAACTTTTTGCTTCTATCTTTACTCTCCTGGTAAAATCATTATGTGTTTAAAAGGGAGAGAGAACAAAACAGGTAAAGCTGTAGCAAAAGGTACAAGGATACAGTCCCTTCCTGGAAAGAGGATTTTGTGGCGAACCATTTCTCCCATAATGCATCCCACAGACCATATATCCACTAGAACAGGAGAGAGAGGGTAGTGAAGAAAAGGGAGGAAAGTAAAGTTAACTAAGATAATTGACTTCTGAAGGAGGAGGAAAAAGAACAGTTTGATTAAAAGTACAATTTTCACCTCCCACCAAAAGTTGGCCAAAAGGTGAATTAAAACCAGCACTATGCTATTACATAAACAGTGTCTAGTATTAGAATTCAAATTAATGTTTAAAAAACCATTACTTTGGGGATTCTGGACATTGCCTCTCGGTAGTGCCACAAAGTGGTGACACTGGTGACAGAGAAAAGTAATAGCTAAACCAAAAGTATCTCCATGGCAGGCGACAGCTAAAAGTCACCAAAGGGTTCTCTGTGTCATTTTCTGGATGCAGAGAAAACAATATTAACTTGTAGAGGTGGCTATTTTCACTTTCTCTTCTATTCAGTTACAGAGAATAGGGCAACAAGAGACCACCTTTTTTTCAGGGGGCCGGGGGCAGGGGCAAAACAAGATAAATTCAACCAAATCCAAGAAACCAGGAAATAACTGGAACCATGGTTTAGAGGCAAAAGAATTGGAATTCCTGGTATTTGGGACTTAGCTTTTCCTTCAGAAGTTTATTCTTGTAAATAAACATCAGTTTTAGTTTCCATTTGAAATATTTCAAGAAAAAGGACATATGATGAATTAGCACATGTATAAAGGAGTCATCTGGAAGGAAAGTGAAAAAAGTATTAAATGTGTTAAAAATGGTTACGTACATATATTTATTTCCAAATTATCAAACTTGTTAGGAAAACATGCTTTGCCTTCTCTTACCAATCTTTACCCCTTTCCAATTTGTTTTTTATTATGGACAAAGGGAACTTTTGGGCAGAATCATTTGGCCGAATTGTTCCGTGGGGAAGGAAGGCGGGGCTAGGTGCAGGGGACAGCAGGGCATGCCTGATGTGGGAGCAAGCAGGTTTTTCTGCATGATAACCTTCCACCTGTTGGTGGGAGGGCAGCACCAGGGTGCCAGGCAGGCCTCCTCCATGGACTTAGAGAAGTCGAAAACCTAAGGCAGCAACTTGCAATTCTTTCTAGTGAGGAAAGGGAAAGGGATTTTAATATCAGCTATTTGCAGTGCCAAGATCTGAAAAGCCCGAATAGGCAAATTCAGATCCTCTCCCCCACCCCAGTCTCCTGTACATTCTTGATTCTTGACTTTGTTTTTCAATAACTTCTGAAGAAAGTATAAAAATGTCCTCTTTTCTGAATGAATTAGATGTGGTATTGCCTAGTGAGGAGGACTAGATTCATCTCTTCTGAGTCAAAAGGTGCCAGAACTCTGACATTGCCCACCAGGGTGAACCTGACCTTCGTAAGAGGTGACTTTTTAACTTCCTCTGTATAAATGCATACATACATTATCTGTCTTCTAATCTAAGAGTATACAAAGAAGTTTCTGCAAACTTCAGTGGCCAGGGAATTTTCACAAAAGTACCCTGTAGCACCTGAACATAAAAATACCCTGATTATTTTTATAGAACTTATTAAAATAAACTGCTAAAACTAAATAGAATAGAAAATAAAATAAATATTTAAGATACATTGAATACATATACAATCTTAATTTAAAACTATTTTAATTCCTAAGTATATTGAATATGTTTTTCAATATGGTGCATTATTTGTAAGATATAGTCTCATCAAAATAATACATTGCAATGCTAATAGATATTTAATAAATCCTTAGTTTTAATCAACAACACTCAATTGTAATACATTTTTAAGATTCCTTCCACAGCCTTCATTTTAAAGTGTTCATGAATATTAGATTTTCTTTAGGAAAGCAGTAGTGTCAAATTTGACATTTTCCTTTTTTACGATTTTTGGAATATATAAGAATTTATTAGGCAATTGCTACTCTAAATATTTCTTACAGAGCAACTTAAATTATTACAGAAATTCTTATTCAATTTAAATAATTTGGATTATTTCAAAGTTGTCTGTGAAGATTTTCACTCCCAGGATTTGTGTCACATTTTTGCTTGTCTTTTTCTAGAAATACAGCCATCAGTCTGAGATACGACATAAAAGCCAAATGGCTAAATGCGGTAGATTCCTTCCTGCTTTCACACTCATGCTCAGCTGAGCTGCAACCCAAATAGCAATTTTTCTCAATATCTAGGCACGTGTGCTAATCAGTATCCACTTGACTGTTTAATCAGACTCCATTTACAATTCTTTTTCACTATTAACATTTAGTGCTCTTCTAGCAAAGCTGACTTGTCAATAACATCCTTCACATTTTTAATGAGTGTTTCTTACCAGTAGTATTAAAAAAAAAAAAAAAACAAACAAAACCCTGAATATGCTATCTGGCAGCCCTACCTTATAAAAGCATGTACATGAAAGAGAACATTCCCCTTGGCTATCTACAACGTGCACCCATTTTATTCACGGTTTTGATGCTGCTCTCCAGAAGCATCCCTACCGTTCTCCTTGTAGCCCATCCCCAGGATGACCTCGGGGGCTCTGTAATAACGTGTCACCACATATGGAGTCATCATGAAGCTTGTGCCTGCTGTCCTGGCCAGTCCAAAGTCCAGGATTTTCAATGTGCAATCAGACTTGACTACAATGTTACTTGGTTTTAAATCCTAACAATAAGGATAAGGGAAAAAATTAAAAGCCAGTATCAAGTGAAACATGTTATTTCCATTGACTCAATCAACATAGCAATCTTGCAGTAGCACTGATGAGGTCCCCCTGACCTACAGAGCCCTAAACAAGGCAAATGATTACTGCTACAAATAAGTTAACTGTTAGTTTTCGGATTAAAAAAAATCTTCAGAAGGTTTTTAATCCCAGAAAAAAATTGTATTATCATTTTCACAATTTACACTGATCTTGGGATGAGGTTTTAGAAAAAAAATATGTATCATTGATTGTCTTCTGTTAGGTTTCTCCTTAGGACAACATAAATCTTTCAACATATATATCATTTCTAGGCCTGACAGAAGAACAGATCAGGACAGCTGTCTTTATGCTGCCAGAAACAAACTATGGAAATGAATTGTCTTATTTCAGTTGCACATATGACTTCTGCCAATCAAGGAGCTGAAAGCAAGAGGCTTCTAAGAAGCTGCATCTCAATGGGCCAAAAACATATCATTGAACAAACTCAACTACTAGAATTTCCTTCTACAATTAGTGAACTAGGTGCCAATTCCAATATCAAAGAAATGAGGAAGTATATTATATTTGACCAAAGCCCCCTGTATAAAGAAAATAATCTACAGTTACTCTTCCTCTTCTCTTAAAGCATTTGAATTGTAATCCTAGAGAAGGTGTTCTTACCCTGTGAATAATTCCAGCAGAGTGGAGGTGCTTAATGCCACACAGCATTTGGTACAGCAGGTAAGACATTCGCTCGTGGTCTAATTCCATCTGAATCACTTGACATAAGTTGGCATCCATCAGTTCCATTACTAAGTAACTAGAAGGGTAAATCCACAATGTTAGTTCCAGGTCACAAGATCTATGAAGTCCTTTCAGTTAGTCAGAATTCTCTCCTAACTCTGTAAGTCTTCTGAACTTCTTAGCTCTGCCTTTGACTGAATCAAGACTATGAGAACTTCCAGGTATTGCACGTGTGTTAGCTATACAAACCCTACCACAAGGTTGCTAGTAGAAAAAGTATTTGTTAGTGTGTGGTTTGTGTCCATAGAGTTTTTAACCTTAATTTTGCCTTCACTTCCCCTGTATTCCCTCAACTCTTTTGTGAGTATTATAATTTCAAATAAGAAAAAATTTCAGGACAACTTCTTCCTAAATTCAATGTATCTGTGTTAAGGACAAGGTACTAGGGAATCACTTCCTCTCCTCCATCTGTTGTCATTACTGGGTAGACGTTGCACAAAATCAATGATACTACAAAGATCGAAAGAATAAAGATAATTTTCATGTCCCTTTTATTACTATTTATTTTTGTTTGTTTGTTTGTTTGTTTGTTTTGAGATGGAGTCTTGCTCTGTTGCCCAGGCTGGAGTACAGTGGTGCGATCTCGGCTCACTGCAGCCTCCGTCCCCCAGGTTCAAGCAATTCTCCTGACTCAGCCTCCTAAGTAGCTGGGACTACAGGTGCACACCACCACACCTGGATAATTTTTGTATTTTCAGTAGAGGTGGGGTTTCACCATGCTGGCCAGGATGGTCTCGATCTCCTGACCTTGTGATCCATCTGCCTCGGCCTCCCAAAGTGCTGGGATTATAGGTGTGAGCCACCACACCTAGCCTTATTACTATTTCTTCAGGTAAATTAACTCATTGTAGAAAGTTCATGGAATCTATTAATAACCATAAATAAATAAGCCTTCCCTGAGTGACCAAGAGTATGGAAGAACAAAGCATATAAAACCACAAGGTCAAAAGGAGGCAGAATGTCTTTCCAGGAAGTAACCACACAAATGGAATCTTCTTTACTTATCACTGGACCCCTTTCATTTGACCCCACCTCTTACCTCTCTTTGATCAGTACAAGGGATTTCAACTTTGTGTGTGTGTGTGTGTGTGTGTGTGTGTGATATTCTCTTGGGCTATCTAAGTGCTGTGCTCTCCCTTCCTTCATGAGTTTTGTTACTTACACATCTTGGAACTCCTCCAGCGTTTTCTGGGGTGTGAAGACATTTAATAAACTAATAATCTGAAAGAGAGTGGAAGGGACAGAGGAAAAGAGAGAAAGAAAAAAGAGAGAGAATGTATTATTTTTAAATTTTATTTCAACTCAAAGTCACTCACTAATGCGATGGTGGAAATGGAGAAGTTGGAAAAATTTCTAGAGCTGTCTCACAGGACACAGAAAAGTATACTCAGAAAGAACAGATGATCTGTCTTCAGGTTAATAATGCAGCTAAAAAGCTCAATTCTTGGGCAGAGGAAAGAATCAGAGAGATGCATAATTGTTACACTGCTTTCAAGTGTGATTCCTCATGGCAGAATATGGGCCTTTGGGGGATTAAACAAAAAAGGAAGAAATGCGGTGTGAGAAGAGAGGTGGCAGTAAAACACTCAGCAAAACATAGCAAGGGGATATTTCTCCTCCAGATGAACAAAGTCGTGTTCTACCCCACGATTTTTTTGTGTTGTTACTTTATATTTGTTTTACTTCTACCTCACCCTCAAATATTAAACTAATGCTCCAATAATATGTGTGGGGAAAGGTGCATTCTAGATGATATCAATGATAAATTTAGTAGAAAATTATTTAAAAGTTTTCTACATTCAGTTAGAAGCTTTTTGTTTCCTGCTTTATTTTACATATTAGCTAGTAAAGAAATCTACCTTCTAGCATAAGCAAATTTTGTAAAAACCCCTTGTCACATTTCCAAATAGAGTTCATAGATCAATAACTCAAAATGTTCTTCCAGCTAAATATTTGGTACTAACGTGCCAGTAGGAAATGAATATAAAAATATACAGATACAAATCTTATACTCACAAGATAGTTGCAACTATTTTATAAAAAATAGGTAAGTACAAGGTCAAGATTTAAGCAGCTTCAAAGCATCAATCAATGAATTTCAGTAAACTCTATAAATGATATAAAGACATATGGAGTAATAAACATAAAACAAAATTAGTTTAAACACCTGAGAAATTGACTCAATTCTATGGAATGTTTTATGTCTCATGTAGTTTTAACTTATTGAGAAATTATTGACAAAAAATAATCATAGTACCATCCAATATTTTCTAGTATACATATATATGGCAATGGTTGTCATATAGTTTTAAAACAAAATCATCTCTTCTAAAGCAATCTTGCAGTGTGGAATATTCATATAGAAATAAAATTGTTTTAAAATTATCTTTAAAACTTGCGATTAAAGTGCCATGTTATTCTGTATACTCAGTGCTAGTGAGTGTTGAAAACTGCCAATGAAGTACATCTTTCATTGGAACATCTACAGTGGGTCTGTTTCTCTAGGACTTTATCAGTCTCATAAAGTAATTTATTTCATTTTGATATTTGTTCAAACAAAAACATTAGAGATTGTGTATAGAGCACACATTACACCCACACAAACATTCACACGAACACTCCTTAACAATGGATAAATGCTAACCCAGATCACCTAGTGAACAAATAATCCAGATATCTAAGAAATCTAGAAAATAGCATTACAGTTTTAAGTATATCAAGATTTATTGTTTTAAAAGGTAATTTATCAAGATCTCTTCCCTACTGTATGTTATTTTCCCTTTTCCTATGACCTTGTTTTATCACTTTTCACCCTTCGAGAATTTCTCCTCTATCCTTCCTTTGCTGTCTTATAAATTCTAATTCCTAGCAAGAGCCAATTTTAAAAATGCATCTGTAGAAGATTATCACAGCTATAAAGTTTCCATTTTAATTCAACCATTTCCAGACAGGAATCTCAGTTCTTTTATCTCAGCATCTTGAGACACACGGATGTGAATCCGTGTTTGTCAGGCCCCACTCATTCCTAGAATTGAATATTTATATATTTTTAATAACAATTTTAATCTAATTTTCAGTTGATAATAAATATGGAAAACAGGGGACCAAACTAACACCATAAAGAAGTATTTTCTAAATAGATTTTCTTCGCTATTATTAAAGATTTAATGAGATTACTCTTCCTTTGCTTTCCACAGTATTAACAGAGTTCTTATTAATGTGGAATTTACATTTGGTTATAGTGAATTTCCTCTTCATAAAAAGTTCCAGAAATGTGTTTCTGTAGACTTCTGCATACATACATACACACATAAAAGGAAAGTAGCAGGTGGGGTGCTATTTATAAATTATCACTGCAATCTGGAACTCTTTTTTAGGCTTCATAAATATAAGTCTCCAAAATTTCAGTCAATAACGGGAAGTATCATTCTCTCAAACTGACCAAGTAAGTGGGCATTTCTCCACATTGTATTGCATTACAGGGTCTGGCATGAGGAGGAGGGAAATATAAATACATGTATGGAAAACTTTCCATACAATTGATTCATTGCTTATATCCATCCATTTTCCATTGCCAATGTTATGCTCCATCCTCCTTGGTATAACAGAATATATTGCATTGATCATGTGGCTAATCTTGCACTTACCTTTATTTAACATACTGAAAGAACAAATTAGTATATAACTCTTCATAGGAACCATCCTTTCTATCATTTCTATATTCCTTTCTAGAAGTCTCATGTTTGTTGCATGGCCATATTAGATATGGGTGTGCAGTTCATAAAATTTTAATTTCTTGGTGAGGCCTTTGCTGCTTGGCCTATTTAAATGGGTAAACCTATCCTACCACACACTGACCAGCATTTTTAAATCTTCCTTGTTTGCTTTGCCTCACTTAATAGCACTTATCATCACCTGACATTTTACACATTGACCTGTCTTATTGTGGATCGCCTTGCTCTTGCCAATAGAGCATGAACTCCACCTGGGCAGGGATTTGTCTGTTTTCTTCACGATCTAGATCTGTGCCTGGCACATTTTATTCATTCAACACATATACGTCAAGTGAGTGAATTAAAAAATCATCAGGGTAGAGGAATAGAGGAAAAGAGAAATGCTGTCATGGGGCCCGAATCTGCATATTTGCATTTCAAATATCTTTCAACTTAATACTAATACATTTGTGTCTTCTCAGTGCTACTTGTAGATGGCGAGCATTATGGACAAGATACCTGGTTTATAAAACCGCGCTGGTAATGTGTTCTGTGTAATTTTCATACATAAGAACTTTGTAGAGATAACTCTACAAAGATATTCTACAACTTTAGAATGATTTTACTTGTAATAAAATTTTTTTATTTTTAAGAAAATAAAATTTTATTTATAATTTATAATTTATTATGTAATTATATGTAAAATATATTTGATGTATTTATTATAATTTATTTATTAATAAAAGTTTTCATTAAAATAATGAATTCTCTCCTATTTATCTTTACTAGGAACAAGTGGAGCACAGAATGAATTCTAGAGGTCTTGGCCTGTGATTGAAGGAGGTTAGATTCTGAAGTAAAGAAAGTCCTTTAATGGTCTACCCAGCTGAGTTCCGATGAGAAAAAGCTCTTGATCCCATTCTCAAGTACTTTGCAAATATGTACTTGCATACTTGCCCATCCCTGAAAAAAATAAGATGCCAACACACAGTGGATTCACTGAACAATTAGAGACCACCACCAGACTACAGCTGAAACTAAAAGGAGATAACATGAATAAAACTCAACTGTTAACAATTAAATCTAAATTATAAATCGAAATTAAACCTAAATTAGAAAGAAATGTAGCATGGTGTTTTGTAGGGTTTTTGTTTTGTTTTGTTTTGTTTTGTTTTCTGGCTTTTGGCTTTGCTTGTCTTGTTTCTTTTTTGGAAAGCATGAAGCTCTCAGTTTGGAGCAAGATAACCAAACACGGTAAATTTTCTAACTAGGGAAATATTTATAAAATTCAGCACTTCCACATCATATGGTTTTTAGGTGATTTTTAAGCAGAAAGCTACCATGAGGACAATGAAATTGAATGCAGCGTATTGGCAGGATAAACAATCTTAAGAGGCAGGAATTGCAAAGTAAAGAAAGCCTTTCTTGCTCAAGTAAGACACATTTTCTTTTTCCAATCTCACAAACTCCCACCGCCAGAATTTTAAAAATAACAAAACTCACGTTTTTATGGTTCACACACTTCATGAGGACCAGCTCCCGGTACGCTCTCTTGGCATGGGTTTGGTTCTGAAAGGGTCTGCTGAGCTTCTTAATGGCCACATTTCTGTCAAGGACAGCATCATACGCGGCACTGTAGAGATCCAAGAGCAACTCAGAATTAAGAGCAAAAGATTCCTTAGAACTCTTGCCTTCTTGACTAACGACACAGGTAAAGAAAATGCTATTTTGGAATCTTACTCAGATTTTGTATACTCTGGTCACATGCCAATCAGGCTGTAAGTAAAGATATAAGTGACTGGTATAAGAATATTCTACATGCTAGAAGGATGAAGAAGAGTTGAAGGAAGTGAAGGAGAAGGGAGAAACAGGAGAAGGGGAGAAGGAGGAGAAGAGGGCAAAGGAGAAGAAAAAGATCTTGCCAAGAATATAGAATATAATTGCCTCAGTAAGTGGGTGGAATAAAGAAGTAAGACAGGCATTCAAATTTCCCACTAGTCATGTGACTATAGCAAGTCATTTAATCCCTCTGAATTTCTCATCTGTCAATATATGATATTTAATTTTTTATAGCTACAAAACTTCATTGTTCTTTGGCTGTTTTAAATGAACAGTTTTTCTATACCCATTCCCAAGAACCAGGTGTTTTGTTTGTTTGTTACTGTTTTTTAGAAACAGAGTCTTGCTATGTTCCCCAGGCTGGTCTTGAACTCCTGAGCTCAAGCTATCTTCCTGCCTCAGTCTCTTTAGTAGCTGTGACTACAGCCACATACTATGGCACCCAACTAAGAACCAATTTTTAAGGTGTGATGTTAATTGCCATAAAAGCACTTGTGGGCTGATGATCAAAGTGTACTTTCATTAACAACAACAAAGCTCAAAATAAGAAATGCAATCAGGGAATTTTAGAAACATAAATAACTGCATTTAAATACAAAGACAAAAATAAATGCTATTCATATGTGAAGCTTTCACACCGAGAATGAACATTTACAATGCTTTGAAAATAGGGGTGCTTTTACACTGTTGCTTTGAAAAAGCAATCTAAATATTTGGTGCTATTTCTCTCATATGCAGAGTACGTGAGTTTAGAGATCAAAGGAGAAAGTGAGAGAGGCTCTTTTTGCCATTATACCTAAAGATGCACTCACAAAATATGTAACCCATCCCTGAAACTTTGATTTCTGTTGGGTTTTGTCTTAGTTGTCAGGAGGAAATGCAAAACCAGAATTCACTACAACTGATCTACTAAATTAGAAGTAACATTGACCACTGAAAGCTCACGCCACAGAACTTGGAGCCAGAAACGAAATTGCTGTACCGTAAGAAAACGACAGATTCACAGAATGAGGTTGAAAAAAGTCTTAGAGTTCACCTGGTCCACACTTCCATTTAACACTCATTCCTCTCTAAAACACATCCATGAAAACTTTCACCAGTCTCTGTTTGCCCATCTCCAAAAACATGGAAATCATTGTATCTAAGCAGCTCTTTCTATTGTTGGGCAGCTTTGAGAATAGAAATGCCATCACTCTAATACACAGAGTTACCTTTCTGCAGTTTCCACTGACTACTGTTAGTCCTGCCTTCCAGGGCAACTCGAAATAAAATGTTTCCTTTCCATTATTAACCATAATATATGAAATCTATTAAAAGGTTGCACACAATGCCTGGCCTAGAGTAAACACTCAGTAACTCTTAGCTTTTAGCATTTTTCCGCTAAGTCTTTTCTTTCTTAAATATTACCAGTCCCCTACCATCACTTGTCAGATGTGGTTTCAAGTCCCATCACTATCTGGTCAGTCAGTTTCCTCTGAATAAACTCCAGTGTATCAATATGCTCTGAAAATGCGGACCCTGTGCTAAATAAACATTGCTACTCTGGGTATGGAGTGTTACTGAAGATTAGGGTAGAGCTAGTAACTCTTTCATTCATTCCTTTGCTCATTCATTCAACAAACCTGTTCTGACATAGTTAAAACAGCTAAGTCTGTCCTGGAATTCTTTAATAATGACATTCCACACTATTTTTTCTTTCACTTTTTAAGCTATTTTATTTTATTTTATTTAAAGTTCCTGGGTACATGTGCAGAATGTGCAGGTTTGTTACATAGGTAAATGTGTGACATGGTGGTTTGCTGCACCTATCAACCCATCACCTAAGTATTAAGCCCATCATGCATTAGCTATTTTTCCTGATGCTCTCCCTCCTCTGCTTCCTGGCCCCAATGGGCCCCAGTGTGTGTGATTCCCCTCCCTGTATCCATGTTTTCTCATTGTTCAGCTCCCCCTTAGAAGTGAGAACATGCAGTGTTTGGTTTTCTGTTCCTGCATTAGTTTGTTGAGGATAATGGCTTCCAGTTCCATCCATGTCCCTGCAAAGGACAGATGTCATTCCGTTTTATGACTGCATAGTATTTCATGGTGTATATGTACCACATTTTCTTTATCCAGTCTATCACTGATGGGCATTTGGGTTGATTCCATGTCTTTGCTCCTGTGAATAGTGCTGCGATGAACATATGCGTGCATGTATCTTTATAACAGAATTATTTATATTCCTTTGGGTATATACCCAGTAATAGAATTGCTGGGTCAAATGATATTTCGGTTCTAGGTCTTTGAGGAACGCCACACTGTCTTCCACATGGGTGAACTAATTTACATTCCCACCAACAGTGTAAAAGCATCCCTATCTGCAACCTTGCCAGCAAATGTTGTTTCTTGACTTTTTAATAATCACCATTGTGAATGATGTAAAATGGTATCTCATTGTGGTTTTTGATTTGCATTTCTCTGATAACCAGTAACGTTGAGCTTTTTTTCATGTTTGTTGGCCACATAAATGTCTTCTTTTGAGAAGTGTCTGTTGATGTCTTTTGCTCTCTTTTTATGGTGCTGGTTTTTTTCTTGTACATTTGTTTAAATTTCTTGTAGACTCTGGATATTAGACCCTTGTCAGATGGATAGATTGCAAAAGTTTTTCCCATCCTGTAGGTTGTCTGTTCATTCTGATGATAGTTTCTTTTGCTGTCCAGAAACTCTTTAGTTTAATTAGATCCCATTTGTCCTTTTATGCTTTTGTTGCAATTGTTTTTGCCATTTTCATCAGGAAATCTTTGCCCATGCCTATATCCTGAATGGCATTGGGTAGATTTTCTTCTAGGGTTTTTATAGTTTGTGGTTTTACATTTATGTCTTTAATCCATCTTGACTTAATTTCTGTATAAGGCATAAAGAAGAGGTCCAGTTTCAATTTTCTGCATATGGCTAGTCAGTTTTCCCAACACCATTTATTAAATAGGGAATGCTTTCCCCATTGCTTGTTTTTGTCATATTTGTCAAAGATCAGATGGTTGTAAATGTGCAGTCTTATCTCTCAGTTCTCTATTCTGTTCCATTGGTCTATGTTTCTTTATTCATCTTTTTTTTTTTTTTTTTTTTTTTTTTGGACCAGTACCATGCTGTTTTGGTTATTATAGCCTTGCAGTATAGTTTGAAGTCAGATAGGGTGATGCCTCCAGCTTTCTTCTTTTTGCTTAGGATTGTCTTGACTATTGGGCTCTTTTTTGTTCCAAATGATTTTGTAAATAGTTTTTACTAATTCTGTGAAGAATGTCAATGGTAGTTTAATGGGAATTGCATTAAATCTATAAATTACTTCGGGCAGTATGGCCATTTTCACAATATTGGTTCTTCCTATTCATGAGCATGGAATGTCTTTTCATTTGTTTCTGTCCTGATTTCCTTGAGCAGTAGTTTGTAGTTCTCTTTAAAGAGGTCCTTTATGTCCCTTGTTAGCTGTATTCCTAGGTATTTTATTCTCTCTGTAGCAATTGTGAATGGGAGTTCATTTATGATTTGGCTCTCTGCTTGTCTGTTGGTGTATAGAAATGTTTGTGACTTTTTCAGATTAAATTTGTATCCTGAAACCTTGCTAAAGTCACTTATCAGCTTAAGGAGCTTTTGGGCTGAGATTATGGTGTTTTCTAGATATAGGATCATGTCATCTGCAAACAAAGACAATTTGATTTCCTCTCCTCCTATTTGAATACCCTCTGTATTTCTTTCTCTTGCCTGATTGTCCTGGCCAGAATTTCCTTTACTATGTTTAATAGGAATGGAGAGAGAGGGGATCCTTGTCTTGTGTCAGTTTTCAGGGGGAGTGCTTCCAGCTTTTGCCCATTCAATATGACAGTGGCTGTGGGTCTGCTGTAAATGGCTCTTATTATTTTGAGGTATGCTCCTTCAATACTTAGTTTATTGAGAGTTTTAACATGAAGTGATGTTAAATTTTATCAAAAGACTTTTCTGCATCTGTTGAAATAATCATGTGGTTTTTGTCTTTAGTTCTGTTTGATGTGATGCACTGCATTTATTGATTTGAGTATATTAAACCAGCCTTGCATCTCGGGGATGAAGCCAACTTGATTGTGGTGGAAAAGCTTTTTTATGTGCTGCTGGATTCTGTTTGCCAGTATCTTACTGAGGATTTTTGCATCAGTTTTAATTAGGGATATTTGCCTGAAGTTTTCCTTTTTTGTTGTTATATCTCTGCCAGGTTTTGGTATCAGGATAATGCTGGTCTCATAAAATGAGTTAGGAAGGAGTCCCACCTTTTCAATTGTTTGGACTAGTTTCAGAAGAAATAGTACCAGCTCCTCTTTGCCCCTCTGGTAGAATTCAGCTGTAAATCCATCTGGGCTTTTGTTTGGTTGGTAGGCTATTTATTATTGCCTCAATTTTAGAAGTTGTTATTGGTCTATTCAGGGATTCAGCTTCTTCCTGGTTCAGTCTGGGGAGGGTGTATGTGTCCAGGAGTTTATCCATTTCTTCTAGATTTCCTAGTTTGTGTAGAGGTGTTTATAGTATTCTCTGATGGTAGTTTGTATTTCTGTGGGGTGATAACCCCTTTATCATTTTTTATTGTGTCTATTTGATTATTCTCCCTTTTCTTCATTATTAATCTAGTTAGTGGTCTAGTTTATTAACTTTTTTTTTAAAAAAAAAAACAGCTCCTGATTCATTGATTTTTTTTGAAGGATTTTTCATGTCTCTCTCTCTCCTTCAGTTCTGCTCTGAGCTTGGTTATTTCTTGTCTTCTGCTAGCTTTGGGATTTGTTTGCTCTTAGT